GTGAAAACACCGAAATCGTACGTCGAAAGGAAGCGTGTAAATCGAATCGGTTTCTGGAACTTCCGAAGAAATACTGCGTACACGCACTTTCGTAAAAACTCCGGAGTAGTTTAAGAGGAAGCGTGTAAACGAGGTCTTCGAAATTTCGATTGTGGGAAGTACGTGAAACTTTTTAGTTAATTGATTAGCGTTTCCAGGCGTGTCAACTGCTAAGTTAATTCCCATAAGTGTAGTGCAAGTTTTATCACGGGATGTGGCAACGATCTTTCCCCGCTGAACGGCGAGATCCGGAGCCGACCTAAGTATTGTAGTTTTCCCCAAACGTGTATCTCCCAGCGCCGGGGCCCCGCCCCGCCGGAGACAAGTTCTGAACTCCCAACGTATGTGGTAGTGTTGTGATTGTGTGTGTGTGTGTGTGTGTGTGTGTGTGTGTGTAAGTAAGGGGGTGTGAATAAGGAAGAGAAAGGAAAAATCGCGCGCGGTCCAAGGCCCGTTTGTTATGGATCGGGTCGGTCATTCGCCCATTGTTGAACGGAAAACTAGCGATGATAGCATCCGGCCCAGAGACCGGCCGAATTCGACCTAGCTAGCTACATCGCGATTTATGCAATTGTGCCCCTGGCGGGAATCAGCTGTTAACGGTTACATCCAATCGGGAGCTTGAACGTCTCACCATAGTGACGAGACAATAGTGTTGTTCAAGATCCCGATTGGATGAAACTATCATCAGCTGATAGCTGCCAGGGGCAGAGTTGCGAAATTCGCAGTATAGGTTATGTCCCAAATCCGCATTCATCGGGTCTCAAATCCCAGGATCTCGTGGTTTAGAAGCGCTGCAGAGACGTGAATTTATGGCCTGAGCCACCCCAGCCGGCCTCTTGGTTGAGTTGGCGGGAGAGGTTGCGCTGCGCGCCCTGGTGGAAGCGGTGCGCGGCGCAGTGGATGCGCTCGGGAGGAGTGTGGCGCGGCGCGGTGTGGCGCGGCGCACCGCGGAAGTGGGTCGCGAGGCGTCTTCCTGAGAGCGCCAGGCGAAGCGGCCGCAGCCAAACAGATCGTGGCGGCGCGCTTTTTGCGCAAAGACCGCGGCGCGGCGCGACTGTGCCCCCTCCCCCTTCCCCTCCGGGAAGGAGGCTAACGGCCACGCTCCCGCACGGGCCTCACCACTGACACGATTGTTTTGGCTTTTGCGCTCGTTGCATTGAGCTAACACACGAAATCAGACTAAAGGCCCATTCCCAATGCAAACATAAACTTAAGCATGAAGTTAGGGCTATCGAATCCATAAGCGGACTCATTCATAATGAGTTCGCATAAACATAACACGTGAGACGTTAACTTACAAGTTTGCAAGTTTCAGTACATATGCAAAATAAACCGATCACAGTACGGTAACTCAAAATCAAGAATCGAAATAGGATCGAAGTCGATAGACGAACTAACGCCATATGGGCCATGGACCCAGTCCATGCCTCGAAATCGATTCTCACATCCAACCAATAGTAAACTATAATCTATGTTAGACATTGTGAATACTTCAGTCTAACACTTATGTTATTGTTTACGTTTGCATTGCGAATGGGCCTTAATATATTTACTTTATAATACGTCTCGATGCTAGCTCGAATTCAACCGCTGTTTGGAGGAGAATTCTAGCGACCTGATATTCGGATCGGTAGTTTCCCGAGGTGAATCCCGGGGAAGTACCCTAACAAATGCGTCATTGATCACGGGCGTTTTTTTTCTTCCTCTTCCTTATCCTATCCTCTCGCCTTACGTACACAAATTTCTGCAGAAAATGCACTACTCCTACACATGGTAGGAGACCAATCGAGAGAGTAACGTAGGGCTGCGACGGATCCTGCCATCCAGCGTGGGAAAGCATCACTTCTCGTACGGGACTGTTAGCCTCAGCAGTTGACGAGTGCGGAAACAAAAAAAAACTAATCAATCAATTAATAAATCATTTACATAAGCATCTTCCTTCAGATCAATCTTTCGGCCAGACATGAAATTTGTCTAAATCAGATTGCTGCTAGTTTTCATCGTCGAGCATCGAAACAAGTCGTCCAGGTGCCAGAGGGTGACCTCACCTCACTGGGCCGTCTCTTTGGTCAGTAACGCAAGTTTGTGAAGAAATGTGAAAGCCAAAAGCGCAGCTGTGTTTTCGGAAGTGTGTAGTGGTAGTAGTAATAGTAGTAGTCTAGCATCCGCAGACCGGAGAAAATATACCACAGGTTGTGCATAGCGGCTCCAGACTATTTTTTGTATTTCAAGGTTCATTCTCGCATAGTGAGATTCGTGGTGAGAGTCGAAACTTCTAGAGTTGCAATGAATGTGTTGTGAGAGATAGATGTAGGATCAAATAATTATTCCTGGATGCACCATTGTTCGTAATCCCGTATTTGGACGAGTAAATAGCTGAAATGATAAACTAGTTTTATCCATTTTTTAACGAAGAGAATAACAGTTTGCAGTTATTCCCCGGGTGTATGTATTTCGTTTTTGCACCTGAAACGTAAGAAAAAAATTGGTTTTATTATAAATCAGGAATGTCGAAGATGAACCTTACCGTTAAAAATAAAGTAATAATTATAATTTAAATATGATTGAAAATTAATAATTTTCATTCAAGACGAACAATAATTAATATATTTTCAGTTTCATATTTTTTGTAGATGGTGTTACGAAACTGATAGCTTATCAAGAAATCCGCTTCTCATTTCTGTATTAGCAAATCTTGGAAGTTTCTACACCCACACCAAGAATGTGCGTATTCATTTCACCATCTTCGCACTTTGCAATTAGTGGGCGAGTCGAACCATAACCATAAGTGCTACCCAGCCTCCAGGTTGACCTCGAGGCGGGTATTGATCAGCACGTGTGTCAAGTTACCAACTTCATCGGTCTCCCGAACGATTTTTTTCTCGGGTATACCTTACATAATAAATTATTTCTTCTACTTTCGTTTTTTATTATTCTTATTACAATGAATGCAAATCTTATTTATTCTTTGAGGTTTTCCGTTCGTTGTTTTGTTCACATGTATTTGAAGCAAACTCACAGCCCCGCAGTTCATTAAAAATGAATCACCCGCTTAATAAATCACATTAATTCGCTAAAGTGCTTCTTACATGTTCATAAATAATACCGCAGGCAAACAAAAAAAAAGTCAGACCCAAAGACTTTGTCACTTGTTTCTTTATGTATGAGGACGCTCTGAATCCAGATTCGCCACCACGTGCCAAGTTTTTTTAAATAGCGAAAAAAACACCGTTAAATTGTATTTAGATTTATTCAGTCAAAAAACAGTAAAAACTATATGTGACGTACGGGGGAAAAGATTATCTACATTATATTATTATTTTTCGGGTTTTCGAGGATTGTTTTCACCACCCTTCAGTTATCACTGGAGCGCTACCACCCTTCAGTTATCACTGGGGGTGGCGCGGTTCCTCCCCTGCTATATCATGAGATCCGGTGCCGGTTACACGTCGCCTCGGCTTGCGGCGCCCCCCACCAAGTGTCTCCGCCAGCGGGGCCTCTCCCTTGACGGGACAATCTCTAAGCTCCCGGCTGGTCTCCTCGTATGTGTGAAAGTATAGTGGATGTAATGGTGTGTGTGTGTGTGTGTGAGGGAAGAGGATTGAACACGAATGAGGAAGGAAAGATCACGTGTGGTCTGTGGCCCTCTCGAAAGGATACTGCTACAGTATTCACCTAATGGTTAACTAAGAAACCACAGAAAACAACCGATCACAAAACACAGCAGCTGCAATTCTTTCACACAGTGGGTGGACTCGACCTAGAACTCGAAAATTCCGGTCTCAAATATGAGGCGATTCCAGTCAGAGACGCTGCAGTGGCATCAATTGTTGCTCTGAATTGACTCTGCCTATCTCTCGGTCTAGGACAGCAGTTCCTCACGGCGTCGATATCGAGCCCTGGAGGTTGATGATGATCAAGCAGTCTATGGAAGTGGACAGCCAAATATGCACCGACAGCTGAGCGTTATAATGAAAATGCTATTGCAAAATGCTAACTAACAACTAGCAATTTCATTTTTTCTAATAATATAAAAAATGAAGTAGTTAATGGTTTGTTGTTTTTTTGCGTACATATTTTACATAATATTGAGAGGTGGCAAAAAAAGACTATTTCTTTTTCGAGAGGCGTAAACTCTTTTTGAGGAATCTGATAACAAAAAAGGGATTAAATCTTGTTTCAATAAAGTGTAAATTATTTATGCTAACTTGTTGGGCTTAGAGAGAATGCACGTTTTGTGGGTCTTTGGTACCGATTTTCGAAGAATCGATTTTTAGCGAAATGTCCAACACTAGTGGCTAAACCCTTGGTATGATTTTGACCAAAATTGATATTCTCCATTCGGCTGATGTCGTGGCCCATTTAATTAGAAAGGGGTATTTCGATTTTAGGGGGGGGGGGCATTTTCACAGTTGTCTCAGAAATGGCTCATTCTTTGTAGGATAGAAAAAAACGCTTTTTAAAATGGGCGGGTCTCATTTTCAGTGGATTCTCTGAATTTCCGAAAACTTTGAAAATTCATTTTTTTTCGCCGACTTCCTATAACTACAATAATGGAGATATACTTTTTATTAATGAAATTATTCAACGTTGAATATTGAAATAGGGTCATGTAATCACAAATTAATAATTTTTTCGTAATTTTATTAGAGTAAATTATATGTGGAGAATTAATATTGCAAAAGTACAATATTGAATTATTTTTATCTTAAATGAAATTTGTCCAAAATATCTTTTCAAAGGTCGTGCACACGTTTTGGAAAATAGGAGTAGTTTCACGTAATGTTTCAATCTTCGAAAATGGAAATTCGAATTTCCCTCGCCATTACGAAGTAGACGACATGGTAGGTGGATACAATTTGCTACATTTTAGTCCGTTACAGATAAAACGATATCTTGTTTATCTTTTTATGAAAATAGACCTATTAGTAGTTTTCTTGTGAACGTAACATTTTGCATGGTTCATATCAGGTCGCAATATGAGAGTGGCATTGACGTGACAAAGCAGATTGAAATATTTAGAATTATATCTCATTCTTAGGAGATAGTTTCTCGCTGTAGAGATAGTTGATGTATTAATTTAAAATAATTAAGTTTTCTCAATTTTTGTCACTTCATGCGCTACAATTTGTAATAATTATGGCTGTGATATTTTCATATCTATATAAATTGTGGTAATATAATATTTCGTTACCGTTATCAATACGAGGAAGGACGTACTGTTGTTATACCACTAATTTTCGTATATAAAGTTTCCAAACATTTAATAATACTTGTTTACATTTCCAAAAAAAATAAAATTATGATAGTATAAAACTATGAAATACTAACCTAGTAAACCATTTTTTCAAAACTTTTGTTCATATTTTGTCTAGATTAGAGAAAACAATCGAGGGGGATCGATGAAGCAAATCATTTTTTTAAAAGGGGTCGATGCAAGGAAGGTTGGGAACACCTGGTCTAGGAGGACGAGATGGGTCGTGAATGGCTGTAATGGAGATTAATAATAAACTGTTATATTATTGTGGAGAAAAGAAGTTTGCATCAGATTCATTCTAAAGAAATGCGCTAGAAAAGTGTAGCAATTCAAAGGCTTCATTTTTAAGGTCTTCCAGAGAAGGTTAAAGTAGATGACGAAATCTCTTACAGCATTTCACTTGTATCGAAGTGTAATGTTTTTTTCATATTTGGTTTGTTTTTGAAAGATGATTTATTTTTCAATGTTTTTTTTCAAAATATTGTTCAGAAGTATATTTCTGGAGTGTATTTTTGTATTTTTCGATGTTGCTTCTTCCGACTTTTTCTCCATTTGTATTCCTTCACTTTTTGAACCCTTTTTTATATTCTCCCTTCGTTTTGAACAGTTTGTGTGAGATAAGGGAATACGGATGGTTAAATGTGTTAATTCTTTCCTTCGTATGTAATGCCTCCTGCCGCAGACGTGCTACAAGTGGAGTTTGTACGGCTCCGGTGCCCCCGGCGGCCTGCTGGTACGAGTGCAGCGGAGTGGAGAAAGCCGGAAACTAACGCAGTCTCGGTTCAATATCCTTCGGTCTGGGTTGCATGACCTCTTTTGGCACCTCGCAGAATTTCATATTTACATAGTTAAAATTATTCTAGAAGGCAAACCCTCTATTTCAGATATATAAATGCAAATTTCAACTGTATAGTATTTTCATTCTAATTTACCTTTATATCTCGATAAGTTTGTACAATAAAGAAATGCAAAATAAATTCGCAGCGAAGTACACGAGGGGTGACTTATTCATATTTTTGCCTCATACATGTGCAGAGGGGAATACAATCAATCGCAAGTACAAACTCCCAGGCTTGAACAGAATGGAAATCTATATTACTAATTTCAAAGCCGGAAATTGAAATGGAAAGAAAACTATGCAGCCTTCAGCCAACGGTCATGTAAGGGGTGTCTACGATTATATTAGATACACAAGAGCTCTGTAAAAATTCAAAAACAATTAACCGGTTTTGACTTTGGCTGTAAAATGCAAATATTTGATTGGGTTATTTCGCCTATTGTAAAATTGCGCAAACCGTCAGAATTCTCATACTCGTTTCGTCTCTGCTTACAACACGGGTGGTGTCATGTGGCAGTAAGTCTCCAAGGAAGAAACTCCAAGAAAAGGGCTTTTCGGCAGTAAATATTTGCTATTCACGTGTTGCGCTATGGAAGACCACCTTTTTTGCATTCTTGGTACAGTCAGTGCAAAAGTGAAAACTTTCTCTCTGTAGGAATTGTTTTGAGCATGTGAAAACTGATATGGAAGTTATCAAAAACAACATACATTAATCTTGAAAAACAAAACAAAACAAAAAAATTAATGTTCAAAAAAAGTTTTTCGAAGCTACTCCAGTACCTCGGTAATAATGAAAACAAGAAACACTGCGTTAGAATGGGGTGCAAAACGTTTTGGGCACCTGAAATAAAATGTTTAACAAGGCGCATTAAGTTTCAGAAAAAGGGGAAATCAGTGGCTCGTGACATTTTTCAAAATTTCTCCATCGCCGTCTACTGGTTGCCGACTGAGATTTGCAGAGACAGGAACGCTGCAACTGTTCCGAGGAGGAAATTGATTGTTAAAGAATGCAAAGAGGTAATCCGTTAGCACAAGGAGTACGCACCGATGCGAGAGTTATCTCGATGGACTGGAGTCTCGAAATTAACGGCAATGGAGATTAAAAACACGTTGTGTCGAGAGGGAAGCATTAAACAACAAACTGAGCAGTGGTCACCCTCGAGTCTGAAGAATGCAAACTGAGCGGAGTGAAGTGAAGATTAATCCTTGGACGAGTGCCCCGTCCTTGGCGGCAGTCCTCCTGGAGAACGGAGAAAGAATTTCGGTTGGCACAGTGCGCAATGTGTTACGAGGCAGTGTCTACCGTTGAAGCATTACGCGAAAGAAGTTTTGGGGGGAATAAAGTGAACAGGCAAATATGCCTAGCATTTGCAACAATTCTTGTAAATTTCGAGTTTGGTGGAAGGTCGTATTTTCACGCGAGAGGAAAGTCTTCATTGTTTTATCAGATGATCTACGTATGGAGGAAGAAGAAATACGTTGCTGTGGTAGTAAAACTTAATTCCCACTTACACATGGCAATGGTTCAGGTCTAGCGTGGGAACGTATGTATGTCAGTAGTGTGAGGCAATAAGAGTTAATATTATTTTTCATCGCGATAATGACCCTCATCGCACCACTTTGAATACA